ACATATTAACCATATAAAATTCCCTGTTTACCTTGTTTATAAATTTCTATATATATATACACACACACACAAAACATTACTTACACAGAACTAGTATACAGGCACATAAGTAGGTAAAACTCATAAACATAACGAATTAAAGATAAATATTCAAGTTGTATGACAAGGCTGAATATACGTATAGGTTATTTCAATAAAACAGCTACAGTTATTGAGCCAAAACAACTTATAATGTGTACGTTTTGAGTCAGGCATACAGGAGGTTGAACTCCATTTGCCTAGACAATAAACAATTATTAAGACTAACATTTAACTTTACTACGTGTGTAGAAACATACATTCATAATACCATGCAGTTTAGTAAAGACATTAGCAGTTTCATTAATCAAATAGGAATAATTAGAATCCTTTTTTATAAATTATTTAGAAACACTTTACCTGGTTGAACTCGAGCACATCCAGCAACTCAAATAGTTTACGATTTTTTTCATTGTCATTCAATTTAACATAGTGTTGTTGGAGACCGTGGAGTGTCAGTTTTGCTTCATCGTCAACATAAACTTCCATTGGCTGTATAAAAACATGTCATGAACAACAGGGAAAAATATCACAGAATACTCGGGAAGACTCGCATCTGATCTAAGCTATTGCTGTTACTTCCTCTACGTTTATAGGAAGTCAAAAATAAACTAATCTGGTAGAAGTACTTCCCAATTTCCACCCACAAAAACAAAAAAAAGTAATATAATCTCACACAAAAAGTTGCTTTTTGAAATATTTGCACCTTAACATTTATGCAATAAATAAATAATTTTTTAAAATATCTGAAATAACACTTACTTTCCAGTGTTATACTTTATCACAAAATGTCAAACAGTACCAGTGAAAGTGTTTCTAAGTTTGTAATACCCCATACATTGTCTGTCTAGAGCAGTGGTTTCCAACCTGTGTGTGTCATGGCAAGTTGCTGGGGGTGTAAAGAGAGTTTCAACAAATAAAGAATAATTAAGAAACTACTGCATGTAAGAGCAGCGGTTTCACACAAATCAAGGTGACTGAGTTTGAATGTAATCAGTAAAAAAGGTTTGGAAACCACTGGTCTAGAGGAACATTGGACATAAATTAGTTTGAACTAAACTTTGTCTTTTTTTTTTTTCAAAAAAAAGGTGTACATTTCTTAAGCTCAATTGTTCTAAGATGGCAAGAAGAATCAAATATGCAAAGAGCATATTTAAATATATAATAATGTTATACTACTTATAAAGCTAAAGTTCTACATATTATGAACTATTAGTTCCCCAATGGCCAAATTAAATGCCTCTAATTACCAGAGCTTGCCAATTAGTGATATTTGAAGATCAACTAATTGACAGGCTCATTCAACTAATCAATTATTCTCACGAGACCTGAATAGTTGAAATAATCAAAGTATAATAATTGGAAACACTAATTGACAATGCTTAACCTTGAATTGATCAAATATAATAAGAAATAATAATAATGGCAAAATTTCAATTACCTGGATAGTAGGAATAATTAAAAACAGTAATAATGGAAACACTAATCTCAGTTAGTTGATTATTTTTGTGCCAATCAATCATCAAATTTTAATCACCCAGCCCTACTAACTACAGCTTTATTTAATACAGTAACTGACAGTAGATTTTCTTGTATACATCTAACACACTTTTCATGGGACTGTGGAGTAAGTGTTATGTACTCTTACGATTCAAATAGTTAAAACCTTTCTCTGAACTAGTGAAGGCTACCTTTGACTGACATTTTAAATCAATGATTCTCAACCTGTTGATCATTAGATGAACTAAGTGCACCTTCAGATTCAAAAGGTTGAGAAATAAACAAACATTGCCAAAAATTGTTTATGTGAAAAAGGTTTTACGAAAAATTGCTTTAAAATAATTATTATAATTTACTGGTATCTAAACTATACAACTAAATTAACATAACAAACCAGACAATTAGGAAGAATATATAAATGAACAATAGTTGTTGTCCTCATTCCTTCCTAGAGAAGTCCGATTTATCGTGAAGTTTGTAAAATCAACAAATAACATGAATTCTGTGGCCAATTAACAATCTGAATATTAATGTTAGCAAAAGCTAAACATTCCTTTAACCTTTTTAATGATTCAGAAAATCAACATTTCATCAGGATGATCTCAAATGTAAAGTTTTTTTTTTGTTAAACTAACAAGTGTAGAAACACACAGTTCACTAACTTAAAAGTTATATAAAAGACAGTCAGTTACAAGTAAAATACAAGTTACATATGGGAATACAATTCCAACAAATGCAAGTAGGTAAAAGACCTTTCGATTACATTTGTGAAAATGAAAATTTAGAGGATTTTTTCAGTCAAAGTGGGTGAGAGGAAACTGGTATTCTTCACATTTCTGAAAGAACTGAATACAAAAAATTACTTTTATTCCAATAATATCCATGTATAAAGTTGAGAAGTCTCATAATGACTTACAATTTAAGAAACTGTCTTTTTCCAAATCAGTATAACAAGCTTAAAAGACACTTAATTCTAATCGTAACTTTTATGTATACACCCAGAAAAGTCCAAACTTTGTTCTTACGGTAAATTCAAATGTTACACTTACACATACTAATCATAACTTTCTTGAAACTATAGAGTCTTGGAAGTGCTTAATAACTTGTAGATTGAAATAAATATCAATTTTACAGTTTTAGCCAAAGTGTCCAACAAGTTACGTTGTGTAACAGTACCAGTTAGCACTATCAAATACTACAAATGTGTCTATACTGGTCATCTTGACCATGATATCAATCAAATTCATATCACTTAAATTATCATTATTCTTTTCACACATCTGCACCTGCACATCTTGGGTGTTTGCAGCTAAGAACTAAAACAGTCCACGAAATACTGCTAACTATGCAAGCGAGAAAATAAAAGAATGCAAAGTTAATATTTAGAAATAAAAAGACTAAACAATTTAATCGTGAAAGACAGATAATGATGTGAGAATACAACATAGCTATAATGAAATGCCAATTAAGATTTTATCGCATATAACAAATTTGTCAAAGTGACTGGAAATTAATAGCCTTTAGCAGGAGAAATGTTTCAAGATTAAACACTGAAGCTCTTGTCCTGACTGAGAGATATTGCATTATTTGTAAACAATATTCTGAAAAGTGTATTCTACTACTACTTATATCTTTCTTGTTGAAATGCAAACACTTTTTCTTTTACTTTCTGTAATTATCTGCTGTATAAAGATAATTAATCATTTATACCAAGGTGTTATTCTAAATCTAAGTGTTTAAGTATTAATATACCCAAATACATTTAATTAGAATTGTATTATTGTAAGTGATGGTACAAGAGAGAGAAGAAAAAAAAAAAAGAGTTTAAATTAAAGAGTAAAAAAAAAAACCCTGAGAGACGAAGATGGTCGAGCAACCTAGTCAATGGTGTCCTTGCTGTTCCAAAGTGGGCTTCCATGACTAACAGATGCAGCGGAATATGTGATCACCGGATGCATCATCTGCTGGGACGACGAGTGTCCATGATGACCACAGTAAACAACTCTGCACTTCAGAAGTGATGATATAAAAAGAATTTCACTTAATGGACTTCATCTCACAAGTGAAGTATCAATTTGTCCAGTCCTTTCACAAAACTCCCACAACTATTGACGGAACCCACATGTCTTTTTCACTTGACAGCACTATCTTCTTTGACACATATCACATTAACCAGACTATGCCTGCCCCACAAGATGTCAGCCAAACAGCTCCATGCCATTTTTAAAACTTTAAACTGATTGCAAAATGTAGTTAAATAAACAACACAGGAATGGACTGCTAACTCACACTAAACTGACCAAATCAAACGCCACCTCAACAAGCCCAAACCCTCGAGATGCAGATGGTTTCAATGAATAAATTACATGAGAAACAAGCCAAAAAAAAACAACAATAACAACAAACTACTCCATGAGCACTACTCAATTCCTGACCAGCACCGAATTGAATAAACACAAACTATACAATTAAATTCCACTGGCTGCATAAAATTAGATCAGAATTCTTGCACAAGACTGTTGAAACCCACCAGCACAACAAGAATAATATCAGGTACCATTTACATGTACATACTGACTACTAACTAGTATCTCTGTCATCACGGATTAAAAAATAAAACTGGAAATCGGGAGACCAATAAAACTAATACATTCTGCGCTTTCAATCTCAAAACATATCTTCCATAAATTCTGCATGCCAGCAGGTATATTACAAGAGCAAACTAAACTATTTCAGCTTCAGAAACAGATTGCAAAGAACCAGCATTAGGACGGGTAAACGATGACTGAGAACAACTAAAAATCAATTTGCAAATAAGAGCACACACAAAAAGAACCATAAACGTTATCGACTCCTTAAAACAATGTGGTTAAAATCATCATCAGCAGCTTGTTTCGTAGATTTCTCTATGTTAATGCCAACTACTCTTCGTTGCTAGCAACCGCAGTCAAGGAATAGCTGAACTGGAACACCAGGTTTCACGAACACCACTAACAGATGCAACAAATATTTCAGCCTAAATCCATCTGGTGATATAAAGTCCCAATCAGCAAAGGAATAAGATATATGAGGGTAATTACATCTTGCATAAACTTCTTGCACACTGGACGTATCTCTTTGCTTAAGGTGGCACTGAACATCATCACTTGCTTGTCATGAGGGGTGCTTCGAAATATTTCCTGGACATCTCGTCTCATGTCTGGAAAACAATAACCAACAATATTACAATGTAAGAATTAAATTCCACAACAAAAATATAATACCACCACGAAAAAAAAACAATTGTAAAATATAATTTTTGCCTTACAATCAAAACGCATCGAATATCGTATCTCTTACATATTTTACCAATTGTTAATTTTTTCACTTATTATTTTATGATAATGTAAATCATGGGGCTGCTCTGAATGCAACACAAAATTCAACTAAGAAATTCAATTCTATTTCAACAATTTATTGTCTTTTTTTCTCTCCAAAAATTAATGGAGAATTAAAATTCTAACATGTAAATAAAAATCTACAATAAATGTAAAACTGCTCTTTCTGTCGTGTCTGAACTTTACACTACACCTGTACATTGTTGTTGTTTTTTTTTTTACTGGCTCCTAAACTTGTATTCCCCTCATTTAAATACAAACATTTTTGGATAATTATATTTATTTATACATTTCTACACCTTCTATTTGTCCAATTATAAATTTACCGATTAAACTCATGCTTATAATATTATCACGGAGATCTTGTTAGCTTTTAAAAGGAGTATTACTTAAAGCTAATAACCATCAGAAGATGGAAATCCAAAGTTAGTGTCGTAGTCTAAAATACAGCAGCACCATCCTGAAACTAGTAATCCTTTCAAAAGTTCTGAAATTTGGTGTAAGTTGTGGTAACAAAGCAAACACAATTTTGTTTTAGATAAGTGATACTACCCACATCATTGACAAGAAACACTGTGGCTGTCATCTCATCAGGCTTAAAATGTCAATGATATGAACAGTGTCGGTTATTTAAAACTATTTAACTCTTGGCCGTGAAAAATAAATATGAAAGCAACCTTAAGTGATTGAACATTTTTATGGTTTCTGATGTTCTTTTCGATCCTGATGATGTTTTTGTGTTAAATTATGTCTACATTAAAGCTATAGGAACATTACTTCATAACAATGCACTGGGTAGGGCTATTAAGATCAGAGAAAGTGCAGTAAACTAGGCCTATGATGGCAAACTGCACAAATCCCTGTATATTGAATTCAAACTCACACACAGACATACAATAATTTTATTAGTTACTGATAACAAACTATAAATTTTAGACATACTGATACCGACTAAAAATTCTATTGGCAAGATATTATGCTGGACAAAGGTAAGAGTGACCACTTTGAAAGTTGAGATCAGCAGTCACCACAAAATCTTTGTCACTCATGCTGTGCTTATACGATTTATAATGGGAATTGTGTGATTCAACTAGCAAAGTAAAGTGCTAGAAGAACACAGTAAAACTGTTTCTCCTACCATATTTTGAAATCCACTTTTTTATTGCATTTATATAGTTGTTTATCTCAGATGTTAGGCTAATTTGATATGGTGGTCAGTATTACGAAGGAATTTCTTTTATGCAATTAAACCGGTTTCACTTTCAGCCCATAGGAGTGGATCATTTGTCTGAAGATGGCTCACACCCATGTGCTAATTAAATTGAATCATCCAGTGGGATCCTGATCTCTTAACATTATCAAAGCTTTTTAGTGAACTTTCTTCAGCCACTAGCTGTTAAGAATGTTTTTTACATAGTGGTATCACATTTTTCTTGGGATGTTGGAATCAACAACATTACATTCAGCATATTAATAGTTTTCACATTAGTTAACTTTCTTTAGTTTCGTTAACAATATTGGTTAAAATTTATAGATATAAATAGAATATATATATATATATATATATGTACATGCAAAAATTTAAACCTTACACACATTATTTACACATTCATTTTTTTACACTTCTGAGGATTGTTGTGCACTGTTAGCTGAATATACAGATTCAGGACAAACCTAGTGAAAAATTAATGGATTATGGCCAAGTAGTGTTAACAAAACGTGTACCCAGCAAAGCAATCAACGCAGTCTAATCATTATACACTTTTATAATAGTACACGTTCCACACGGTTAGACCATTGTATTTAATTAGCTATATTATTTAAGCTGTGTTAGTTTTGATATTTGTAAGTAGCTTGATTTCATCAGAAGTTATCAATAATTAGAATGACTTAAGTCAAAATTAAATTTGATTTAATATACAAATCATTGCTAACTATACAAGAACCAACATTTTCAGTCCCAACGAACACTTGATAAGAGTATCTTACCCAGTTGTTCCAGCATCTTATCACACTCGTCCAAGATGAAATGCTTCACTTGTCTGAGGTTCAGCTTCTTGGTGCGCACCAGGGCTAAAATGCGACCAGGAGTTCCAACAACTATGTGGGGACAGTTAGTCTTGAGAACCTTTTCATCATTGGCAATGTTCATTCCTCCAAAGAAAACTCCTACTTTGATGGTAGGCATGTATTTAGAAAACCGCTCGTATTCTTTAGAAATCTGGAAAGCCAGTTCTCTGGTGTGACACATTACAATTACAGAAACCTGAAAGGTGTAAATTTGAAGTTTTGTTACTGTGGCACAAATAGAGAGAGATACATACAAAAAATTATGTAGCTTCAATTCATTTTAGGCTTCTGTACAATAGTATGAGGGCTTATCCAGCTTTAACACAACATTTTAAGCTTTCTCAGAAACACTATTACTACATTAATAGTAAAAAAAATATTATTGGCACAATGCAAGGTAAAATCTTTATTATTAGCTACAGTTGAATAGTGTTGGTAACATACTATCATCACTAATCCCGATGATGGTAAGTAACTGTTTTTTTTTACTTTAAAACATTTTAATCTCAAACAGAAGTTACTTGATCACATTTTAATGAAAAATTTGTTGGGTTGTTTTTCTTACCTATTTATCATGCTTATAATAACAATATAGTTGCAATATTAGAATAATTGGTCACAAAAACTGATAAAATCCTTCAATATACATCTCTGTAACTATATTTCCTATAACATTCAAGGCCATGTGTATAAGACACACCTAATTAATTCAAAATGTAATACAGAAAGTGGAATTTAACTAAGTGGAAATGACACTTGTGAACAAAGTCCTTTCTCAAGTAACTTTAAAATCTTTCAAAGCCATTTCCATAAGAAATAAGTAGCATAAATTAAGCAAGATTTACAAACTACATTACCACTTAATTTATAAAAAAAGAAATTGCTGGGAACAAAATCAATCTGTTTTTAAGTTTACCTGGGAATGATCATAAACATTTCTGGTACAAAACAGTGACATTTATTGCTTTTTTTATTTTCATCTTCAAATACTCGAGTAATCACACCATACATCCAACATGATCATGGCCAACTTCAAGTTTGGGGACCTTTCTACACAACACAAATACCACCACAAGAAACGAGTAGGTCAACTTAGCTTAGCCCATCCAGTAAAATACAATTCTACAAATGCAAGAACTTAAAGAATTGAGGGTTTATCATTCCGAGTTTTCTGTTGATGCCAATGAACGGTACCAGAGTTGTCTATCCTTAGAACGTGCTTAATAATTTGGAGCACTTTCAATGGTCATTGACAATCTGTCATTAAACGCTTGTTAACAGTGAATATGTGACCAACATGATGGAAAATGTTTAGTTTTGCTGTTAATAATGGTCTCAAACGTGAGCATCTATAACCTAAAACTGTGTAAAGTTGGCACTGAAAGCAAAGGACACGACAATTATAAACTTTTATGAAGATCAGAGATGAAAGTGTCCCTTTCCTAAAAAATAATTGAAGCCAAGTAAGGGGGGTCCGGCACCCAAAATCCTGCATTTTGATGCATTTTAGTACTTAAAATTCACTTAAACAAGTTACCCCATTTTTCTTACATCAATGATTATCAAATACATGTGAGAAATTTCAAATCTGATTCCCCTAATTAATGGATAATTTTCAAGAGTGCATTCTTTGGAATTCATAATTTTCACTATTGGATGTCAAAACTTATATAAAGTAATGCTTTTATAACTTACAATCAGTACTGCATATGTGTTTTGAAATGTGTATGATTCAACTTAGACAAAAGAGTTCACACTATTATGAAATTAAATAGATTCATTATTAAAACATTGCTAAAAATAAATCAGACATATATTTATTGTAAAATCAAACTCATTCGCCAAATGTAAACAAACCGTGCGATTGCATAAATGCTTATCTATGGCATGGAACACCAAAATCAGATAAATAATTTTAAAAAATGTTTCTCCGGAAGAAAACAGGAGGTTTTTCAGGATTTTTTAGAAATATCCGGAAGACTTTCATTATTATGAAGATAGTGAAAAGTTTATCTATACTATTTTCCCCCCCAGAAAATAGTCTTTTTGAGACGGTGCGATACCCATATACTGATGCTGTGCAAATTTTTGAAACACCACATTTCTTAAAACAAATTATCCTTAATGATAATTTTAACAGAAATAAATTATCAGTTGGGGCCTAGGTGGCTTTCCAAAGGCTGTGGGGTTGTACATGTTCTCGGATGCATTTAGGACAAGTTTCAATATCAAATTAACTCGACTTTCTAAAAAAAAAAAAAATTCAGGTTGCACAGACCAACCTGATAATCACATGGGACTAGTTAATACTTATACCTTCTACATGTATGTCCAAATAATTTTTAAAACCTCAGTTGCACATAAAAACACGTATCATTGAATTACTCTATCATGACTCCTTCCTTGTACAAGTGAAAATGGTTGAAAGTTTAAACCAATAAAGATTAGAACGATGTTGGCAATAAAATGTTAAATGTGTTTATTTTACATAAAATATAAATTATGCTTTGCCGTCATGCGTGTGAATTTGGTGGGACTATGAGTGTATCCTTCAACTTTTGAATAACATAATCAAATTAACAATTGAATTTGAAGAAAGCCCAAGAGTAGGCTTAATATATTTAATTTGATTTAGATACATTGAATGTAACTTTCATTTTATTCCATTCTTTAGGACCTTTTAATACATGGAGATCACTGTTTGTTTCATCAGCTTCCAAACAGACACAACAATCGTATTAAATGCACCACAATCATAGAGATTACTAATTCTTCACAAGGTTTGTCAGATGTGATATATCTAGGAAGGTCCTGAGAAAAACTCACATTTTCTAAGTTCTAGAAGCACTATGAAAACTTGTATCTTACTTGGTTGTCCACAGGATCCAACTGTTGAAGTGTGGCCAGTACAAACACAGCAGTCTTTCCCATACCAGACTTGGCTTGACATAAAATATCCATTCCTAATATTGCTTGTGGAATACACTCATGTTGAACTGTAAATATAAAATAAAACCAACTTGATTACTTAGAGTTTATAGTAAGTAACTGGACAAGTTTTTCAAAATTCTCAACAAAACAAAATCTATACAAATCCAAGATCTACTGAAAATATATCTACACACATGTTTACATCTTGCCTACTAACATATTGCAAAACTGGAGGGGCACTCAGTAGATGAATACCTCCACCAAACAGCATTGATCATAATCGGCTCTCAAAAAAAAATTAGTAAAAAAAATGTGTCTCTATGTAATTCATTATCAATAAACAAGGATCATTTTTGGATGGATAATGAGGAATAATATTATACAGAAGTTCACCAAGTTTCATCAAAAATCCAATCACTCTTGACTGATTTATAGAACAAAAATAGTATGCAAAAATCAGTCCCCCATGTTAACAGATAGGGAATTTTGTGTGACCTTGACCCTCCTAAAACTAATCATTTCAAAGTTTGGTCATAGTCCAAATCCATTCAGCTATTTTTGAGAAATTCTGCTGACAAACACGTACACACATGGATGAAAATCTCCTCCATCCACCTTTAGTGGCAGAAGTAATGAATACATAAACTTTAAAACCTAATCTGGTAAAAAAAAATGAAGAGGACGATTGATTGAGAACAACAAAGTTTGAAAATATTTTTAATATAATATTTTAATATAAAACATTTTACCTTCTGAAGGATGCTCAAATCCACAATCTACAATAGCTCTTAAAAGTTCAGGTTTCAATAAGAAATCTCTAAACCCTGAGCTGTGGATGGATACATAACCACCAGTTGGTTTCTTTGTTTCTGCTACTATTTCATTGGTTGTTTGCTCCTGTTCCTCTTCCTCTTCGTAATCCAAAAGTTCGGTATCATTTTCAGCCATGATGCAAATTTATCAGATTTCAAGTGAAGAAAACCAACCTACCTGGAACCATAAAAATAATTTAGTTAAGTATTTTCACTATTTGTTTTGAGTAACAGGAAAATATGTCTAACATGCACTTTGTACAAAGAGTTACTAAAAGTTAATTCTTTTAATACCACTTCATCATATTTTCCCCCCCTTGGCTAAATGCCAGATATTTTGAAGGAATTAGTACTAATCAAGAAATGTGCATTTATACCAAGTTTTGTCTACCATTACAAATTTTTATTTATACAAATAAAATATTTAAGTTTTAAATGAAAAATCATAAAATGTTTTCTTCCTCACTTACTGTATACCAGAAAATGGGATTTATGTTTGAAAACCTAGTAGAAAGGACGAAATGGTTCCTTGTCCATAGGTTAAGATATCTTGTTAATGTTAATAGAGCAGGTTAAATTCCTTCTGGAATTTGTACTTCATCATCTTAAGAGTTGTATTTTATACACTAGAGTACTGATCATTTTAGGTCTTACTTCCCTACAGACTTCCATATTAAAGTATATATATCTCATAATGTATTATTAGTGTAAACAATTATCAATGCTAATTCATTACTGGTTGACTTATTACATTACATCACTGGTCAAAGGTTAGAACATTTTATCTGTGAACTGTCGGTAAAGACTACTACGAAGAATATTTAAGAAAGTACCATCTTCAAATTTCCAAAACTTTCTTAGTTAATCATAACGTACATTTTTAGTATCATCACTATTACTATTAAATGTAATATGCTTATTATTATAGTTACTAATAAAATAAAAAAGTTCATACATCCATTAACTTCAATCTAGTGCTTCGGCACGTTTTCGAAATTAGTGATAGAATACGTTAAGAATCTTCACTATTCAAAATCAAGACACCACCATTAATCCATTACTTACCACACCTTAAAGTTATTTCATCATAATTAGCTCATCAAAAGTTAAGCCTAATATCGACACACAATTATATCACGGAAGTTTAATTTTGCAGAATCGTTGATAAAGAAAAATGAATCTGCTACCTAAAACTAAAAAAATATATTTCCATCATTTAGTAAGTGTTCATGTAATTAAATATAAAACTACAACGATCAAAACTGATTTAACTCGACCTACCTTCAAGAGATTTAACACACAAACAATACACAACCAACAATGGCTAAAACAGAATAACGTAAATAACCCTTGCGATCAGTCATTGGCTGAAAAAAATTTAGAAAATAAAAGAATTAAAATTTATTAAAATTAATACATTCAATAGACTAGATATATACGTTTCATTTGTCCAATTGTATTATTTAGTATATTCATAGTGATATTAAGATTTAAAAACATTTAATTTGAAAAAATATTAATTCATTTTGTGTATTGATAATGACTGACAACCTTGCTATTATACCATTCCCAACTTTCTCCACTGGATAATAAAGTTACATTTCTGTGAGATTACTTACTCACAATTAAAATGTATTCAGACAGAATTGATATATATATATATAAATAATTAATAACACTTGTACTAGGTGACAAGTAGCATTAATGAAGGAGAGCCTGAGGTATTTTGGATGAGAAATAAAAATCCATTATTCTCCGCCCCCCCCATCTCCCTCACGTGGAAAAAAGAAGCGTGTACACTGAGTGGTCACAAGTTTGTTTGTTTGTTTTTAATTATACACAAAGCTACACAAGGGCTATCTGTGCTCTGCCCACCACGAGTATCGAAACCCGGTTTCTAGCGTTGTAAGTCCGCAGACATACCGCTGTGCCACTGGGGGGCATGTTCACAAGTAAATAGACACCTAATTTTTCGTCATTTAACTGATTTATGTTAACTAATTTGTGTTCACAGAGCACTATATAAATGAAAATGGTCCGCACACTAATTATCTTGTGCTACAACATACCTAGAACTCAAGGTTCTCTCGAATTGTCAGATTTTGTTAGAGGAAGGATAGTTGGTCAAGCAGATGGTGGAATAAGTCAGCGGCAAATTTTGCAGAATCCCGCTTTCGACAATCAACAGAATCATCGTGCAGTTCAGGAAACAACTGAGCAGCGTCCGGGTCGTCCTGGTCCATCGGAGAGGAC